CAACAAGTAGGAGACCCCAGTCCGTTTGGAGTATGAGAACAGAAGCCCCATAGTGTTTCAGTCTGAAAGTCAGCAGGCTCACTACCTAAGAGCCAGTGATTTAATTTTCAATCCAAGGGTTGGGAAAAACTGTACATCCTGGCTTATAGCACTTGAGTGGAAAGGGACCCATTCTCATTCACAGGTGGGGCAGCTTGTTTGTTCTATTAGGGTTTCCCAACAGATTGGATCAATATTAAAGAGGGCAACCTGCTTTACCCAGTCTGCCAATTAAAATGTATTTAATCTCTTCCAAAAACAAACTCACAGACACATCCAGAATAACATGTTAATCAAACATCTGGGCACTTGTGGGCCCTACCTGGTGCATGATGGGTAAAGCACAGCACTGAAGCTGCCTGCAGCCACTGCAACTGAGTTTGATCCCCAGCCAGGGAGCTGACCCATATGACAAGGCAGATCTCTCCTGCTCCCCTCATCAGTGTACTACAGACAATCTGCCTATTCTGCTCCCCACTCTTGTCTCTGGTAAATCCTCTCACCTGGCCTGTACCCCAGTTCTTGTATTCATCCAATTGTATTCATAAATAAAATCTTTTAAAAAAATTTTAAAAATCTGGGCACTTGTGGCCCAATAAATCTGAAGTTTGCCATCACATAATCCAAAACGCAGATGAATATGAGTGCTTATTTAATATACAGATTTATAAATTATTGTGCAAATGAAAATTTTATCTTAATGTCTCCTGTGGTCCTGAAAACCAAAAAACAAAAACTTCAGGAGTCTTCTTGATGACATAAGCATTAAGTGTTAGCACTATCATGGTATCTCCGCTACAGTCTGAGTTAGATCCCTGACCAGGGAGCTAACCCATATATGTATGGCACAGCAGATCTTGCCTGTTTAGCCTGCTGCTCCCCTTAGCAATGCATTTAGTAGATCTACCTGTCCTGCTCCTCACAGTCTCTGGTGAATCCACCTCTGTCCTATACCCCAGTGCTTTTGTGCATAAATAAATCAGTAATTTTTAAAAAGACTTATTTATTTATGCATACAAGAGCTGAGGTGTTGGCGGGGGAGGGTGGTAGAGGGGAGGAAGGCTAGAGGAGTCACTAGAGAAAGAGTGGGGAACAGAACAGGCTGATCTATTAAAATCACTGCTAAAGGGAGCAGTGGTAGAGACAGGAGAAGTCTGGTGTGAAATGTGCGGTCACTTCCTTGGCCAGGAATTAAATTGTGCTATAGTGGCTGCTGATCTGATAGCTTCGTAGTGCTTAGATTTAACTCCTTTTTCTACCATGGAGGACCCTAAGTCAATAAATCTTAAAAAAAAATTTTCCAGAAAAAAAAAGTAAACACATGGAAAACACGGGCACATATCCAAATGATTGAAGAAAGGAAAATGTCATCTATTTTGACATTAAAAAATAAAACCACAGGGCCCTCCCTGGAGGCGCAGCAGGTTGAAGCACAGCATAAAGAAGCTTAAGCCACTTCCGCCTGGATTTGATCCCCACCTGCCCCAGAGGTGACCACATGGTGTGGCAGACCTCTCCTGGCCCGCCTGCTGCTCCCCTCAGCAGTTTTGCTTCGTCGATCTGCGTGTTCTGTACACTGCTCTCTCTCTGAATCCTCTCACCCTCTGCATCTCTGGCCTGTACCCCAGTTCTGTATGAATAAATAAATAAATCTTAAAAAATAAAATAAAATAAAAAATAAAACCACAATCTCTCATAAGCGCCAATGAGACCTATACAAAATAGATTACATCACATTTAAAAAAAAAGATATCAGGAGTTAACAATAAACCCTATTTTATTAGCACAATTAACAATTTCAGGTAACAAGTGATATAAAGTTAAAAGGATCTTAATCGCCCTCTGCTGGAAAAGGTGTATGCTGAAGGCATAAACAGACTAAAAAACTGGCAAGAAATTCTTTCAGAACATATTTGGCAACAAAAACTAGAAATTATATATAGGTTGGAAATACAAAATAAGTTGGAAGGAGATGGGAGATTGTCTTGAAATAATATTTAATAGGAATCTCAGTTTTTACTTAGATTACATGTATTATTAGGGTGACTAAAGTTTATGGGGAGGATATACTTCTCCTGAGACATCTCTTGGCAATCCTGCTGGTGTCTGTTCACCTTAAATGCATAACTGAGGTAGCCCAGAAAGATGAGTAAGAATCTCGTCTTTTGAATTTTTATGAAAATTTCAAACATACTCCAAAGTATATGAACTTCACATATAGTGCAGTATAATGAGCTTTATGTAGGCTTCACGAAGCCTCAACAATGACCAGCATTTGCCATTTTCATTTTTGTGTCCATTCCCAACTCCTATTTATGCATGACATAGTCATGTTCAATAAATACATGTTGAATCTATTAAGTCCTTAAGAAAGTAAGAGGGCCCTCCCTGGTGGCACAATGGGTTAAAGCACAGCACTGCAAAGCTAGCCTCAGCTGCTTCCATGCCAGTTTGACCCCCCCTCCCCCACCCCAGGAGGTGACCCACAATGCTCAGCACAGCAGACCTCTCCAGTCTTGCTCGCTGCTCCCATGCCAGTTTGACCCCCCCTCCCCCACCCCAGGAGGTGACCCACAATGCTCAGCACAGCAGACCTCTCCAGTCTTGCTCGCTGCTCCCCTCATCAGTGAAGTTCATCTCGGCCTGTTCTGTTCCCCACTCTGTCTCTGGTGAATCCTCTTAACCGCCCTTGCACCTTTGGCCTGTACCCCAGTTCTGTATGCATAGATAAATCTTTAATAAAAAAAATAAATGGCTATGGGATGGTCTCGTTTCTTGTATTCCTAGTCATGTTTGATTGACTGTATCTGAAAAAACTAGGTGAACTTGAGACTCACAATGTCTTTTCATTCAAGATCTAACTTTAGTCCTCTAGGTCAGACAATTAGGCCGGGACACCAGCAATCTCAGATCACCGTATTATCAAAGGATATAAACCCTTTTAAGATTGGTCTATTTTTGGCTCATTACCAAAGCATAGCCTTTTGAGGTTTCAACTCAGTCTGGGGTGTGGGATGATTTAACAAGGCCCCTCATTTCAGTGTATGTTAGATCCCAAATTTTTTCTGCCAGTGTCCATAGTTCTATAGAAAGATGTGTCAGCTTAACAGTCTCCCGTAAAAGCTTAGTTGAGGGAAAAAGTTTCATATGCCAGCAATTTTCTTGGGTTTCTTTCTTAGGTCTTCGCCTGTAATTCTTTAGTACCTCTTCCATGAGTTTTTCTAGTTCTCAGGATGACTGGGCCAATTTTACAACTGCCAAGTGATGCTTTCTTCCCCATCTGTCCTCTACCACTTACTCTCTTAACCATTCCTCAAGCTATTCTTTTGGTTACTAGTAACTTCTTATTAAACCCACTGGTTCTTTTTTTGGCTTGTTTTTAAAGATTTAGTTATTTATGCTTACAGAACTGGCATACAGGCCAGAGATGTGGTGGGTGAGAAGATTCACCAGAGACAGAGTGGGGAGCAGTACAGGCAGATCTACTGAAATACAGTGCTGAAGGGAGCAGTGGGCGGGTCAGAAGAGGTCTGCCAGGCCATGTGGGTCAGCTCCCTGGCAGGGGATAGAACCAGTGCTGCAGTGGCTTCAGAGTTTCATAATGCAGTGTTTTAACCTGTTGTGCCACCAGGGAGAGCCCCCCAACTGGCTAATTTTCACTTCACTAACTTTCAGCCCAAGGTTGTCATTAGACTGCTTCACAATCTACATTAACTCCTTGTTGATCTTACCACTGAAATGCTGAGAAGTCTCAAATTCTTATACCCAGTACAGAACAATCTCTTGAACTCAAATACTAGTGTCTTTTCACATAGATGTCTAATAGGAATCTGTAATTTTATTCACCTCAGTTATCCTCAAAACTGTTGTCTCAGTTAATACCAATTGTTAATAGCAACTAAAAACTTGTCATTGACTTACCACACTAAAAATGTCCATTAGCAAACCTCTTGGGGGGGGGGGTGATCTCCAAAATACATTCAGAATCTGATTATTCCCTTTCATTACCATCTTGGTCTAAGTCATCATATTTTGGCTAATTTTGCAACATCCCCTTATCTGTTTGTTTTTACTTGATCCCATTTAATTGTTTCTCAGCACAGAAAATTCTATCACTTCACCAATCTGCTCAAACCTATGATGGCATTCCACAGGAAAAAAGCCTGCGGAAATTAGGGCCTCCCTGGTAGCACAAGGGGTTAAAGCACAGCACAGGAAGCCATCAGCACTACAAATTCTGGAGCTGACCCACATGGCACAACAGACCTCTCCTGTCTTGCCCACTGCTCCTCTCAGCAGTGTATTTCAGCAATCTGCCAGTGAGGCTCCTTACTTTTTGTTTCTGATCTGCTCTCGCCCCTCCACATCTCTGGCCTGTACCTGAGTTCTTGTGTACAGATAAATCTTGAACTGAAATATTTCAGTCCATCTACCTGTTGTTTCCTACTCTGTCTCCAGTGAATCCTCTCACCCTCTGCACCTCTGGCCTATACCCCAGTTCTTGTCTGCATTAATAAAAATAAATCTTAAAAAATTTTTAATTTTTAACTTTTAATTTTAATAATCATTCCTTCTAAGTTTTTATCAATCTTTCCCCTGTGATGGCACACAGGGAAATATTGCAATATAAAATCCCGGGAAAAGCTACCTTATTGGAAACAACTGGCAGAGGAACAAAGGCAGCTAGTGCTGCAGCGAAGAGTTCTTTTACTGCTTAATCATTATTTCAAAGTAAGGATTTTAAATAATTCGTTTAACACATTCACTTACATTTATACAATACTAGAAATGCTCATTGACATTTTCACTGTTAACACATTAACTTGTCAAGGGGAGACAAGATATGATAAAGCCTCAAAGCTATAGTTGGTATTAATTATGTACTCAAAAAAGGCCATTTGCAATTTAAGTGCGCTCTTGTACAAAGCTTCAAAGTTAATACAAGTACTAGTCTTAAGCAGTCACACAAGTCTAAGCCACATTTATTTGCACATGTATAGTAATGGGCAACAAATACTCCAAATTCATACAAATTTATAAAACAACAGGTTAATAATCATTTGGTACACTTGCGTGTTATCTTGCTTACAGATTCAAGTGTAGATGAACTTCCTTCATTTTGTCACTTTCATAACAATACTTAAAACAAAATTTCTTGAAAACAATATTGGCATGTTTCAGTTAGAGCCAACACAAAGTTAAGACAAGACCACAAACTTAAAAACCAAATTTAGAATATACTTTTCTACTTCCCTCCCCTAGAAAGTGATTATTTTAACAGATGCATATGCTGTATCACACAAGTAACCATGGAGACAAATGATGCTCCCATAATTGTATAGAAAATGCCAGCCAAATCAGTTTTATCTACCAAATATGGTTTAAATGAGAAACTGTCTATATTAAAATTAGAAAAAATATAAGTGATTTTATGGAGAACAAATTGTGTTCCCCATTAAAGCTGCAAAGATCTGACTTTGACAACTCAAAATAATTTGTCTAAGGCAAATAAAAATGAGGAAACCTTCAAAGACATTCTGATCATGTTCTCTAGCTAGTGATAAAAATTGAGAATATCAAGAAAATATTTACAAGTGTCAACGAGGACATCCCAAAACTACTGAAAGAAATGCACATTTATTTCTACTAAAGCAATGTATGATACAGAATTAGAAGGGAACAGACTTAAAGATTTACCTATTAAAATATACAGATTCTTACTGAAGAGTATAGGATATTTAAAAAAGATGACAAAGGATGTTAATCTTTTTTTATTATTATCATTTTTACATATTTTGGAACCTCACATAATTTTGATAAATAACTCTTACAAAATTATGCAAAAAGTACAAGAATGTCTGGTAAACAAACAGTCTGTATTTTCCAAAAAATTTTTACAACATGCAATTCTTAAGGCAGCATCCTCCTTATAAGGAAAGGTAATCCTTTTACTCATCAAGAAATCTTCTGCTGCAAAGAATGGGCTAAGGAAGCCTGGCTTCTTCCATTTTAACGCCTTTTGTCTTTCCTGTCTGATTTTCGGTCTCTTTCACTTCTTGAAGATCTTTTGCCTGATCGACTACTTTCTGAGATAGACCTTTTCCTGTCAGACCGGGAATTCTTATCCTTTGATCCTTTTGTATCTCTACTACTACTACCTTTTGAAGATTTGTGACTTCTTTCTAGTCCTGAAGTGTCCCTTCGCTTCCGATCCACACTCCTTCTGTGCTTTCTATCTCTATTATGTCCCCGGCCTCTACTACGACTTCTACTCTCACTACTGCTAGTAGTGCTGCTGCTACTATCCCTGCTGCTGCTGCCACTTGTACTGGAGCTACTACTGGAACTACTTCGACTGCTACTACTGCCACTGCTAGAACTACTTCCACTGCTGCTGCTGGTTGAACTGCTACTAGAACTACTACTGCTACTGCTTCGACTTCTACTCTTGCTTGTCTTATTTCTAGCTCGGCCTCTACTTCTGCTCCTAGTTTTGGTTTTGGTTTTGATCTCTGGATGTGCTGTCAAAACTGGCTCTACTGTTGCATCAGTGAGTTTTATAGATTCTACAGGAAACTCCTTCCTCTCAGGTAGCAAATGTCCTTGTTCCTGAATAACCTGAGGTGGTGGCTGTAAAACAGCTAATGGTAAAGTCTCAGGTTGAGAGACAGGCTGGGGCTGGAGTACTGGTTGAGACTGAGACTGAGTCTGTGTCTGCGTCTGAGGTTGGGGTTGGGACTGGGACTGGGACTGGGGTTGAGACTGGGGTTGAGGCTGAGGCTGGGACTGAGACTGAGGCTGAGGCTGAGGCTGAGGCAGGGGCTGAGGCTGAAGCTGAGGCTGGGTCTGAGATTGGGTCTGGGTCTGGAGCTGAGCCAGGGGCTGAGGCGGAATAGTAGGCTCAGGTTGAGGTTCAGATTCTTTCTCTTCTTTTTCCTCAGGCTCAGTTTCCATTTCTACAGCACTAGCATTCTCTTTCACAGGAGAAAGAGACTTAGATTCTTTATCTGGCTCAACTTCAAATTCCATTTCTGGCTCCAATTCTTTGCTAGTTTCATTTTCTGAAGGTTCTATGCTTTCAACTTGATTGGTTTCCATTACCTCCTGCTCAGCAATTACATTTTTGACACTTTCCACCATCTCTAGCACATCCATTACTTCTTCAGGCTGACTATCCTGCTGCTTCTCACTTTCCCTTACCTCAGTTTCCTCTTCCACCTTAACCTCCATTTCCTGTTTTTGTTCCTCCTCTTCCTGTTCTTTCTCTGCATCACTATGAACTATACTTATTTCCTTTTCCTCTTCCTCTCCTGCTTCCTCTATTTCTACATCATTGTGCTGATTACCTGTCTCCTCCAACTCTTCCTCTCGCTGAGCCACCTTACCCTCTTCTTGTTCCGCCTTCTGTTCTTCATTACGCACCACCTGATGCTCTTTTTCCTTCATTGATTGTCTTCTAGGCCTAGCCTCCATTTTATTTATTTGTTCTGCAAATTCGATGCGTCTACCTTCAAATAAAGCTAAAAAATAAAAATTCATGTGTAAGATGTTAAGATAAGAAAATTCAAGGCCACAATTTGATACATGGTCACAAGTTGAATTTCAGTTAAATGTCTTTTTGTAGACAGATGGCAAGCTACAAAATGATAAAAAGCAAAGGTCCAATGGCAACCTAAGACTAAGAAATAAGTACAAAAGTATACAAACTAATGCTTCACTACTTAACTGTTATTATTACTTGAAAAACAACACAACTCCCTTTTTATAGATAAGTGTATATCCCCTATGAAATACATTGGTGTTTTCTCTTCCCTTGCTTAATTAATTAGCATTACACCTGGCTATTAAAAATAGAGAAAAAGGAAGTTTTCTCACTCAAATGCTTAAGAAATACACATACAATAGACACTTCCTACAAAATATTAAATTTCAAGTTAAACTCAATCAATGCTAAAACCAATGCTTTTGTACTATAAAACATCATCTAAGAGTATCATCCCTAAAAATGAACTTTCTGTTTTCTCTTTTTAATTATATGTGAATGTGTATACATATATTTACATTACTCTTTATTTTGTACATTTTTCATCTCAGTTGAAATCCAGTGGACTTCCTACCACTTTATCATGTGTCATCATCCTAGACCCAACGTGCACTTCAGTTTTGATTTTGTTCTTCTCTCCTCCCCCAGAATGTCTCTGGTTTATAGTTGTTAGTCAAAAATGAACTATTAAGTTACAATATTACCTGAAACGAATGTATCTATTACCTTACCCTCAAGAAATTTTCAAATTGCTCCTTCCTGTACACTTACCATTCATTTTTCTTTGTGATTCTTCTATCAGTTTTTGTGTAGCTGGGCACATTCTTCCAGGAATATAGAACAAATGGGGCTTTGTCTTAGTTCTTATATATTTAATTATCTTGGCATTATGTTCATTCCATTCTTCTTGCTAAAGAAAAAGTAGAAAGTCAGTGCTTTTGTAAACATAAAGGATTATCAATCTTAGAATTCTAACATACTACTTACCAGCTGCGCAAGCTCAACCTTCTGTTCCAAAAGCCGCAGTTCTGTCTGTTTAGCACGCCTCTCTTCAAAGAGTTCTCTCCTCTCATTTTCAACCTGCTTTCTTTCTTCCTCTGCCTGCACTTCAAGTTTTTGTTCAATTTCCTGACGCCTCTTTTGCTAAAGATAAACAAGCCTCAGGTTTGTAATTCAGGATACTAATTAATTCAAACTTAACTTTTGAGGGTAACTATATTTCTTTCAGGAAATGGGGGCCAAAGCTTTTTTAAGTAAAAACCTAAACTACAAGGCCAATTTAGCCACATCAGTAACTCCCATTCCCACAAATTTCTTTCACATCTAAAAAGAGGACTATCTTCACGGTTATTTTGGTTTGTGTTTACAAATCAAAATTGTTGACAGAAGAGATGCTCTAACAAACTAATTGATATTCTCTTGCAAAGTTCACATAAAAGGATATATAAAAATGCATCCCACCTCCTCTGAGTTATATTCTTTTCTACTGCAGTTCTCTCAAGAAAAATAGCTTGGTGCTTACCACCACAGACACAATTTTGTAGCCTTAGCAAAACCAATAGTAAAAATTCATGTGTAAAATTGATAAGAAATTTCAAATCACAATTTGACACCTGGTCATAGATATAATGAATTAGTAGCAATAATGGTCAACTCCTTGTTAGAGAGAAAATACTCCAAGGCCCAAAAGAAATGACAGGACCTGTCTAAAACAAGACTGAGATTTTTGTAAGAAGTGAGACTAGCACTACAGGCTTCCTGTGCCAAAGACCAGAGCTTCTTTTTGCACTATAAAGAGAAATTCACACAATTATTTCATAGCACCACTTAAAAAAAATGCAAACAAATCAGCTCAGCATATCATAGGTTTTCCCATATCTTAATTTTAGCCTTACAAGGTCTCATGAATGCTCAGCTCCTTCCAAAATACATGTAATCAAGTACTTGGGTAACTTACAGAAAGGAAGCAAAAGGAGAAATTGTATAAATACCCTTTCAGTAGCAACAGTAGATTCTTGTTTAAATTTCTGAAGGGTGCCCATCAACAAGCCAAAAATTCGCCGGTTCCTAAATAGGGGAAAAACTCAATTTCAATAGGATTCATTTCATTGAAACTTGTTTCATGAAGGGTACATACCATAGATGCTTAATTACTTCAATTTTCTTACCTTTGCTTTCCCTTTTCATCCATATTTTGATCCTGGATAAGGTCTCTACGTGTGCGCTCTTTGGAGGTAGCTACAACTGAAGACTGCAAAGCTGGCTGCAAGAGAAAAGAAAATCTCAATAGTTCATAATGAGCACTCTGGTACTACTCTTTTAAATATACCAAAGTGAATACTATATTCATGCTCAAGTAGTTCTTTTAATCCCAAATTACCTTTTTAACATCATCATCCTCTGGGTCGCTTTCTTGGCGTGATTCTCTCCGAGTCCGACGCTCCCCGCCCAGCCTATGATAGGAAATAACAATACAAACAACCAATGAAGAACTGCATACAGAAAGCAAATCATTTTTCTAGGACTTATTTCCAGAAAGTTTATTATTCTATCAGTCTTCCTATCTAACTCTTTCCGCTGCTGTTAAAAAAATTCAAGAAGTGGTATAGTACTTAATCCTAATACAACTCAATTCCATATTTATTTAATACTTATGCTTGTATGCTATCTCAGTAACAGATAGACAAGTCTGCCTTCATAATCTTTTCCCAACATACCTACTGACTGCCCCTTCAAGGTCTCTCTGTTTGGCTGGGGGTCCTCCTCCACTATCTGAGAATCCACGCCTGCAAATAAAATTCCCAACATAAGAGTCCTTGAACAACAGGTTTGTTTAGCAAAAGAATTAGTTGAATTTTTTAGAAATTCTTTCAATTATAGCAACTTTAAATAGCTCTCTAAGGTACTTAGGTAGAATTTTAAAAAAAAATCTCGTTATTAAAAATTAAGTTCACAAAAAACAGACGTTAACTAATTATTTCTTTCATTTGTAAATGAAATACATTCCAGAATGTAGCAAAAACTACAGCCGATCACAGCTTTAAACAAAACACAAACATCTCTTACATAGGTTTTATCATAAATCTTGTTTAAATCGATACAATAATTTAGTATCAAAAGTAGTAACTCTTAGCATATGATTTAAATCCTAAGGAAATCGTACCTCAGCAATAAACTACCACGTCCTCTACCTCCACCAGGACCAGAAAGGGCCAGCAATCTAGCTTGGATGGGCCTGTAAGAAATTTACAAACCGGTATAAAAATCCTACGTAAACACATTCAATGGCACCAACATTTTCACGAGTACGGCTCAACATAAAGATAAAATAACCAGAAGAGTTCTAAAAGAGACGGTTTCAAATCCACGTGTGTGACACAGGACAGGAAGTACTTACTTCCTTGTTTTCGCATGCCCAGTATCACAGAAATGATATTTAGCTCACATCTACAGGTTTGGACAGGGTTCTAATTCCGCCAGCCCCAGGGCGCTGCACATGGGCAAGAGCCTGCGGACGAGGAGGTGGACCGCGCCCCCGGAGCGTCTCCGCGCCAACACAGTGACCGGCGGCCGCCGGAGGGAAGGGGCTTTGTGCAGCAGTTCCGGGCCTGCAGGACCGATGGCGGGAATCCGCAGCCGGGGCCTTTCCGCAGGCAGGGAAGACCCGCTGGTGCGTCTGGGGCAGGGGCTCCATCCTTAGGTACCTGAGCCCGGAATCTAGGGCGGGGGACTGGGAAGCACCCACCTCAGGAGGCCCAGGATCCGCCGCGGCCACGGGAACAGGCCTCGATGTTCCAGCCTTTTCAGGGCTGGCCGCACTCCCCGCCCCCATTTCACCCTGGCCTGATGGCTTTCCTCTAGGAGCGGCCTCCCCCATCCAGCCCTTACCTCACGTCATTAGGATCTCTCCCGGTGAGCTTGCGGATATTCTCATCCACGTTTTTTAGGCTCTCTTTGGCCTTTTCTAGCTGCTCCTGCAAAGTTCTCACTGCGACCGCCATCTTCTCCCTGCAGCAGGCTTCGAGACTGCTCTACAGGCCGCGCCTGACTGTGTCGCGCCGCAGACGCGAGAGAACTGACAGCTGGGCTCAGCCAATGACGAGAGGCGTTGTTTTCCGGCCTCAACCACTCAGTGGCCGGCAGGGGAGAAGCTGCCGGACTTAGTGACTCTGGACCAATGAAAAGTCGGCCAGGCGGTGTCCTCCCTCTCCGGTTAGCGGCGGGTGGCTGGGCTCCGCTTCTAGCGCAGGCGGCGAGGCGGGCTTCAGAGTCTCCGGCTCCTTGGAGACGTGGGCTCGCTAGTGTGCTTTTCTGTTCTGCTCCTCGTCCAACCTTTTTTAGCCAGTGGTGGGGCGTGCTTTGCGTCGTTTTAAATGTCTAATCATAGCAAGAGGGGGAGGAAACGGGTTTGTTTCTCTCTCCCTAATCTAATAATCTCTCCCGGGTAAAAGATTTGATTAAGAAGGGTGCGGCCATTCTGTTGGTGCGCATGCTCAGAAAGGGCGCAGAGGGCGCAGGCTCCCCTGCACTAGGTTAAACCAAAATGAGCACAGGGGAAGGGAATGGAGGGACAGAAGTCAGTTATCGTAATAGCTAACTATTTTGTTTTGCATGCTGAATGAAATGCCTTAAATATGCCTTATCCCTCACATACCAAAAGCCTGAATAAATTTCTTGGTGTCACTGATGAAGAAATTGAGACTGGAGGCTGCAGGAGTCCCTAGGTAGCTGAGAAACCATTCCATCAGACCCCTGGCATGACTTTACAACAAGAGAATTATGACAATGAGACAGATGAGGACGGACTTAACTAGAGCTGCTTGTTTTAAGATGGGAGCTGCATTATTGCTCAGTATAAGTGTTTTCCAGCTAATGATTGTGCTCTATTTGCATTACCAAAATGAAAAACAGTTTTGTTTTAGAAACAGATTATAACTCATGTAATTTAGCTCATATAATTTTCCAACATAAGTCACATTATAAATATTTGTTAGGTTCAAATTCCCCATCTCTCAGCCAACCTTCCTTCTTTTACTACACATCAGTGGTATCACTAATTCATCCAACCAATTAAATTTAACATCTACTGTATATCAACAATAATATCAGAATCGGCAGATAAAACCTGGAACAAGACAGTTGTGATCTTTGTTTCCATGAAGTTTGTGGGGTCCTAAAGGCACAAAGATCATTCAGAAAGTTATGAGCACCTACTATATGCCAGGCACTATTAAAGAATCTTGGGTACATCCATTCTTACCATACAAACCTCTGATTTTGTCCTTCCTGGGGATGTTTTAGATTTTCTACCTGAATTTGTATACCCCAAATTGTGACTTTGATCCCAAATAAATGCACTTTGTCTTTTTAATTGCCACCAGAATTTTTAGAGTGACACAACCTTGTGTAGTAATTAGGTAATACATAAAGCCAGTAGATCCCAATTCCCAAGTATAACAATGTTTTCATGGGAAAATGCGTTTAGAGTCAACCAAGAATTGAATCTATTATTGCTTTTATCAGATATATTGCTATGATACTGGGTAATTTAATAGTTTGCTTTATGGAAGTGAATCAGTGAAGTGCTATATTCAACATCTAGTAAACACTCCAATATTAGTTACCCCTGTTCTCTAAAATATTCTAAGAACCCCATGTTACTACAGTTTGAAAAATCAACCTTAGTAAATTTGACAGTCCATGCTCTTTGACATCATTTTAAAAAAGATTTATTTATTTATGCATACAGAATTGGGGTACAGGCCCAATTCTTGCAGGAGCGGTGAGAGGATCTGCAAGAGACAGTGTAGGGTGCAGAAAAGGCAGATCAACGAAATGCACTGCTGAGGGGAGCAGTGGACGATACAAGAGGTCTGCTGTGCCATGTGGGTCACCTCTCAGGTGGGGAATTGAACTTGCTCTGAAGTGGCTGTGCTATTGCAGTGCTGTGCTAATCCGCTGCAAAACCAGGATGATACATTAAAGAACAGGTCTCCTTGGTGGCACAGGGGTTAAAGCACAGCACTATGAGCTACCATTGTAGTAGCCAGGGTGCAGCCCCAGCCAAGGAGGTGACCTACATGGTGCAGCAGATCTCTTATCTCATCTGCTGCTGCCCTCAGCAGTACATTTCAGTAGATCTGCCTGAACTGCTCCCCACTCTGTCTCTAGGGAATTCTCTCATCACCCCCACTTCTAAACTGCACCCCAGTTCTTGTGTGCATAAATAAATAAATCTTTAAAAAATTAAAAAGACAGGTGGATTTTTTTTTTTTTTTGTGATGACTGAATAAATTGACCAAATCGCTGGGAGGAACATATTTTTTAAAATGCTTCTATAATTTCAATTATGGGATATCTTAAAATTCCTGCAAAAGGGTATGAAGAATTTAGATTGCAATCAAGAAAATTCATTAAGTTAAAGTCGGGAAGCAACGAATTGGAAGAAAAAAAAAACTGCTCTGTTAGTTAAGAAACAACTAATTATAGTCTAAACAATTTATTTAAGCCAGGGTCCGCCAAATTTAAAATGTGCATATGACCTAGCATATCCTCTTGCACCTTTGTAGGAGTTCCCACATTCACCTTAGGTTCTTAGAACTCATCCCAAAGTCTTTAATACTTCTCCATTTACCTGACTCTCCGATTAATTTATTTTTCTTTTTTATGTATCTCGTTCTACACTTACTCCATCCCCTTTATTCCTTCACCATGTCCAAAAACATTCTAAATCTGTTTCGCATACCTCAGCTTAATATTAAGCAGTGGTGGAATAATTTCTCAACATATCTAACATCTATAGCTGGTTTTTCACTTTAGGACCTTTCATATTGAGAATATGGCAGGAAGTGGGAGATCTGAATGAAGATAACATTTTTGTCACTTCTCCTAATTCTGAACAAATCAACACAGAAAAGGCCGCGAGAGCGCGCTTTGTGCTCATCTTTCCCACCACGCTCCGCCTCTCCATCACATGGGGGAGGAACCTTCCTCCTAACTGGGCATCCGCCGTGCCCCTCGGGAGGTAGCTCTGTGATCATAGAGCTGGCTGGATGCCGGGGTAGAGGGAACCGGAAGTTATTTTCGCCCCCAGTCCTGGGCCGGTCGGGTCCGCGGGCCGGCTTGGGTTGTTGCTTCTGTGGAGGCTCGTAGGGTCCTAGGGGTGCCCCCGGGGTGGGCCTGCTGTTGACCCGGCTCATACTAGTGCCAGCTTCCGGAAGCCCAGTGAATTCCTCGGTCTCCTAGCAACCTGGGACCCGGCTGCCCACTGAGGGAGTGGCGGCGCGGTCCAAACTGGTCTCGTGCCGGCCGGAACCCCCGAGCCCGGCCCACAAACAGGAGCTTCTTCCCGAGGAGCTTGGAAGAATAAACAGGAAATGGCGGACGAGGCGTTGTTTTTGCTTCTCCATAACGAGATGGTGTCTGGAGTTTACAAGTCCGCGGAGCAGGGGGAGGTGGTGAGTGCTGCCACACACCTTTAGATTTCTTTTGTGGTGACGCTTCTTGTTTTTCCTCACTGGCCTTTAACCCCTGTCCTGTCGTCACTCACAGCTGTCCGAGTGCAGACAAACTGGTATCTTAGCTGTCTTCCGTGTTCGTTCTCTTCTTTCCCCATCTTCTGTAATCTGATACTTTTTGTCCATTTCCAAACCTGTGTCCTGCAGACCAGACAATACGTTTAGTTTTGCTCCTACCTTGATTTGCGGCTTATGTTGACATTCCTGCTTAATTCTCTCACTTTCAGCACTTCCTCGTCTTCCGCAGGATAGATAAGCCACAGCCTGAGAACCCTGTCCCTCCAACCCATTCCAAACCCTCAATACCACTCCGGGGAACTCGAAGATAAAAGTCTTAATGAGATTTGAAGTTAAAATGAAGGAAAGTTTGCAGACATTACTGTAATAAGGAAATAGTTTAATTAATTGAAAAAATGCTCTGTGATATGTTGATTCCTCAACCCCATGCCTCACGGTTACTTTTAATGAGTGAGAGTGCTCACTCATTGAATCATTCATAAGATATTTACTAAACACGTATAATGGGTCTGCCACTCAGTGGATGAGGAGGACAGAATTCCAGTCCCGAAGTTATTGGGCAGTAGAAGTTCCATGAATAAAGTGTTAGGTGGTAATTAGGTGGAGAATTACGTGATTGTAATGGTCCTTATTACATAGTCCAAAGTTTAGTTCAAATCAGAAGCCCCTCTTTCTATAATGCTAATGTTGCAAAGGGGTAGAAAGTAGGAGAAGGAAGAACATCAAATGCAAATGTAAAGGTGTGAAAGTATGGTGTATTTAAATAGGCTTAAACATTTACTGTGACTATATTGAGAGGAGAGTGAGGAAGTATAGAGAGCTGAGCTAGAAAGTCTTGTGTGATTAAAAATTTCGATCTCAGTGATTTTTCTAAGGAAGGGACTAACACCCTCCCACTCCCTTTAAAAAAAAAGATAATATGATGTTTGAACTTGAGAATGAAGATTCTCTTTAAGGTCCATTATTGCATAAGTCTATCAAAAGATGAAGATCTGAATTAAGACAGGGACCGTGAGGAGGAGATCAGGTTTAATAGACAGGTAGAAAATCTAGGATTTGGATATAGAAAACTTGAAAATTATCCCCAGATGTTTAGGTTGGCTTCAACAGCTGGGTAGGATGGAGAGGGACTACAAAAGAGGTGAGTGCAGTTATATTTTGGACAGGTTGAGGTTTTGAGATGCTTATAAGGCATCCAGGAAACCAGGAAAAGGTACTGCCAGTTTGTAAGAATAGTGTATTAATCTATTTGGACTGCTGTAACAAAATGCCATAGACTGGGTAACTTATAAACAACAGAAATGTATTTCTTACAGTTTGGAGACCAAAACACTCAAGAGCAAGGCACCACTAGCAGCTTTCCTATCTGTGAAGGTCTATCCTGGATGTCTTTGGTCTGTGTCTGCTATGGCAGAAGAAGACAAGCTAGCACTGAAGTCTCTTTTACACTCATCCTATTTTATCCCTTTAAGGGCTCCATTCTTATGACGGAATGACTGTAGAATCTCCCAAAAAGTGATTAGCAGGAAATATGCTAACAGGAAATATTCCCAAATCCTGCCATAATGAGTCTTTAAGACTAATACTTATCTTCTGATGTCACTACTTGTTCATTCATTTTGGCAACTGTGAGTGTTCACTAATAAGAACCAATTTTTTTTTTAAGTTTTTAAAGGAAATTTAAAAAATTATTTTCCCTATGTTGATAAGTATGTAATTATTCACTTATGAAAGCTTTGGGGCCTCAGTGGTGGCCTAGGGGTTAATTCTCAGTGCTGCTGCCACTATCGCCCCCCATGAGAGCCTGACTTCAATCCCTAGCCCTGGAGCTGAGCCATATGGCACAGCAGACCTCTTTTGTCTCACTGCTGTGTTCAGAACATACCTGCCTATTCTGTTCCCCACCTTGTCTCTAGTGAATCCTCTCATAAATTCACTGTACCTCTGGCCTGCACCCCAGATCTTAAATGCAAAAATAAATAAATAAATAAATCTTTTAAAAAAGTAGACTCTACAAAAAACCTAAAATCGGATTTAGAGCCATAGCCCCATACGTGGAGTGTATGATTTCTTAGAAGTTCCATTTAATAGTGAGAACTGGTGGGCCTGCAGCTTACACACAGAACTAGAAAACTTGGATAATTCAGAGATATTTTGAAACACAAATGATAGAACTTAGTGATGTCACAAAGGGAATGACTGACAAAAAAAGAAATCAAGGGTGATACCAAATCAAGGGTGATACTGAGAAGACTTAATTGAGTATAAAAAAAAAAGTTGGGGGTGGGAGCATAATTTGGAAGAGGCTTTGGCATTGCAAATAGTTCCATGTGTGTTTTATTACCTTATGAAAGTGACAAATACTAAGAAAATATGGGGTGACTTATGATACATTTTTGTGTCAGTGAAAAATGATAAAATATATTAATATTTTCAGTCAAGGTTTTAAAACAACTTTCAAATACTAATGTTCAAGCATTCTAAAAGTATTATTTTTTAAATAGGAAAATGGACGCTGTATCACTAAATTGGAAAACATGGGGTTTCGAGTGGGACAAGGATTGATAGAAAGGTGAGCAGTATGGATTTGAAAATTTTCTTCCAGGTAGGTTATGACAAAGATGATCCATTTCAAAAGATTGCAAAAAACTTGAGATACTATAAATTTAATTTCCAAATTTTATTCTTTAGATCACAGTTTAAAATCTCCTCTTAGGTCTGATGCTATTTTTAACTCAAGTTCTTTAACTTCTATGTTTAATATTTGAAGACAGTATGTTTTATGTTTTAGACTGTTTTCTCCTTAAAACTTTGGTATGTTAAAACATGTGTCTAAAAATCTTGTTGCATTACCTACTTAGTAAGGCCTAACAGGGTTTTTAACCTACATGGGATTTTGTTTAAATACATAGATAGAAATGTCTTAGTCTGTTTATACATGTACTAATCATCCATTTTATATATAATTTTTTACTATTCCTTTCTCACTGTCTAAAGAGTTGAACTCTGATTTTGTTTTAATAACTGTCATGATCATGCCCAGCTTTTGTGTACACTAAAATGATTTGTACCTAAAATTAGAATTATTGGAATTTTAGCCCCATAATTATATAACAGGATGTGAATCCATTGAAATGGGAACTACTTTACTTGTTGCTTCTTTGTGACTGGATAAGTATTGCTCTGGCATTTGGGAATTGTGAATTATTGGCCCTTTCTTTGAGGAAGAAAAATACTCTTACTTCTAGTTGATCTTTTTAGGTTTACAAAAGATACTGCAAGGTTCAAGGATGAGTTAGATATCATGAAGTTCGTTTGTAAAGATTTTTGGACTACAGTATTCAAGAAACAAATCGACAATCTAAGGACAAACCATCAGGTATTTAGATAAATTAAGGCCTGTTTTTAAACTTTTTAAAAAGAAAATTATTTATGCATACAAGAATTAGGGTACGGGCTAGAGGTGCTGGGGTGAGAGGATTCACAGAGCTAGAGTGGGGAACAAAACAGGCAGAATGACTGATACACTGCTGAGGGGAGCAGTAGGCGGGACAGTTAGGTACCTTGTGGGTCACCTCCCTGGCCAGGGGTCAAATTCATGCCACAGTGGCTGCAGATGGCTTCATAGTGCTGTGCTTTAACTCCTTGTACCACCAGGGAGGCCCCTATTTTTAATTCCTGATACAAATGTTCTTTTAATGACTTTGTCATTAAAACATAAAATTTCTAATAAAATTGTGAACATAACCTTTTTTTTTCATATATAATACTGACTTTAGCTTGGAAGTACTTGCAATGCTACTAGGAAAAAATGATTATTGTCTTTTAGATAGGTATTAATATGTAATGGTTAATTTAATCTGGGTTTGTATTTCTGATTCCTTTATACTTTAAGTTCTTTAAGAATAGGCGCTGTTTTAGGAGTCTTTGTATCTTTACTACCTAGAGGTTTTCATTAAATATCAGTGCTATAAATACTGAAAAATCCTTCAGCTTGAACATTGCAAAACATTTCAGTGAAAGAAAATTTAACCAGTGGAAAGGAGAATTTTAATGGCTTTTAAAAAGTTAAAATTGTCTTAAAGTATAAGGATAATATTTAAGGAATAAATACTATATTAATTTTGGATATTTTTTGTATTTTTGAACAGGGCATCTATGTACTTCAGGATAACAAATTTCGTCTGCTTACTCAGATGTCTGCAGGAAAACAATATTTAGAACATGCATCTAAGGTATTTAATGGAATATAAGACCAGGTTTTCTTTAATGAAAAGAAACAAGCAGAAGTTCAGTGCCAATCACAACTGACTTTGAACTTAAAATAGATTTTAAAGTTATACTTTTTTGTGTAAACATTTTCCTATGAAATAGAAAACAAATATTCATCATTCATCATATAATTTAAGAGCTAGGTAAGCTTATAATGACCAGTTAAAGAACATCACAACTAATACCATTGAAATATTTATTAACAGTAGATTCTTGAATTAGCATATTAGAAGTTACTCAAGCTTCTAAAACTGTTATTAGCTATGCAAAATCATCAACTTCAGAATTTAATTTGTAATCCCCTTTAGTAGATTCATTTCTTTTCTTATATAGTTAATTTTTATTTATAAGGCTACATCTTTTATGTTACCTTTCTTTCTGGTTCCTGTAGAAATCATTATATTAAAGCAAGCTGGTAAGTTTTAATATAAGGGTTCCAAGGAAATGGTAAATTCTCATGGGGTGGTAAAAGCTGTTATTTGTAGTAAAAACTTATTTATAAAAATTTGTCCATACCTAAATTATCTTAACTGTATTATAGGCATAGTGGAAAGAACACACTTAGGACCAAGTAAATGTACATTTTAAACTCAATTCCACAATTATTGAATTGGAAAGGCTTAGAAATGGGCAAGGACTATAGGCGGTGAAAGCCTACGAGACAGCCCAAACACGCCACAAAGTCTAATTAGAACCTGACCTCTAGGGAGCACTGACATTAAGTTTTAAGCTACCTTTGTTGTCGCTAGAACAATATCTAACCAATTGCTTGTTTATTTTTGTCACTGTAGATTCAGAGTCCTAGACAAGAGCACCAATTGACCGAGTTTAAGTTGTGTCTGTGTTTTATTTGTCAAGTATCTGGGAAGTCTTTTTTAACAATCAGAATTTTCAGTATTAGAAAAATTCTTCCATCATCCTTTTTAAACAGCAATAACTTACTAATAGCTAGGTTTTACTAAATGTCATAATTAATAGTTTTACTATTTTAGTGAATCCTTAATTTTTTTTTTACATGCTTTGTTCCTTTTAGTATTTAGCATTTACATGTGGCTTAATCAGAGGTGGCTTATCAAACTTGGGGATAAAAAGTATTGTAACAGCTGAAGTGTCTTCAATGCCTGCCTGTAAGTGAATTCACATTTCTTAACAAATGTTTGTAGTGATTATTTTTCAGGTCTGGTATTTGTTTTTGGTTTTTGTTGACTTAGAGGAAATTAAAAATGCTTAAAACCATTTCATTTGCTGTTATCTATTTTAACAGTGTACGATCTGTAGCATACTTATAATCATTTTGATTTTTTCAAAATAATTTTGTCTGTTCTTAATTTATAATGGATTCTGACTTTAAGAAAATGTCCTAGGGCCTCCCTGATGGTTCAGGGGTTAAGTCTTAGTGATATTAAGCTATCACAAGCCACTGCAGCATGAGTTTGATTCCTGGCCAGGGAGCTGATCTACATGGTACAACAGACCTTTCCTATCTCCCCACTGCTCCCCTCAGCAGTTTATTTCAGTAGAGCTACCTGTTCTGTTCCCCTCTCTGTCTCTAGTAAATCCACTTACCACTGCACCACTGGACTACACCCCAGTTCTTGTATGCATAATTAAATCTGAGAAAATGAAAAAAGTGCTAGAAATGCAAATTTATGGTAGTTTAAGCGTGATTATTGACTTTTATTTATTTTTTGAAAAGATTTATTTATTATGGAGCTTCCATATGACCCAGCAATCCCACTCCTAGGTATATCTACCCAAAAGACACAAAAACACAGATTCAAAAAGACACTTGCATTCCCATGTTTATAGCTACTTTATTTATAGCCAGAAAGACATGGAATCAACCCCGATTCCCAAAAGTAGATGACTGGATTAAAATGATGTTTGCACAATGGAGTATTACTCAGCAACCAAAAAAAAAAATAAACACATGCCTTTTGCAGCAACATGGATGAAGCTGGAAGGGATCATGTTTAGTGAAATAAGCCAGAAAGAAAAGGAAAAATACTGGATGGTTTACTCATAGCAGGAGTATAAAGGACCAGGGGAGAAAATAATAAAATAATATTAATAATGAACAACTATATACCACAGACATTTTAGGGGGTGAATTGGGGAATGGGATCGAAAACGGAGGAGGGAAGTGCACTGGACTATAGTGATGGCACATGGGTGACTTGGTGATGGGAAGCCCACAGGGGTTACAACTGAGATGGGAAAGGCGCAAAATGATGTAAAAATAAACTATTATATCATTTAAAAAAAAAGATTTATTTGTGCATATACAACTTGGATATAGGCCAAAGGTGCAGTGAGCAGTGAGAGGATTCACCAGAGTCAGAGTGGGGAGCAGAATAGGCAAATCGACAAAATACACTGCTGAGGGGAGCAGAGGGCAGAGACAGGAGAGGTCTGCTGTGCCATGTGGGTCACATGGGGATGGGGATCAAATTCATGCTGAAGTGGCTGCAGCTAGCTTTGTAGTGCTGTGCTTTAACCTGCTGCACCACCAGGGAGGGCCCAATTACTGAAATTGTCTACAATACTTTTAAGACAGCAAATTCCCTTTTAACATTGAAAATGTCTTAACAGTTTTCTAAATTATGTAAAGCCAAGTAGTTTTTAATCACTAAACTCGTTTCTAGCATCCTTATACCAGAGGTACCACCCAAGAATAAAATTGAGTTAAATTTCTTTGTATTTCCTTTCTTTTCACAATGGTAATTAGCAGTCAACTATCATCTCATAAAAGAAACTGACTTTATCAAATACTGTGAAGAGTTCTTTGGCATAGCAAGTTTTATTACTAAAACTATTTCCTAAATAGAACAGAAAACTGATGTTTAGGCTTGTTTTTCTGTACCTAATACTAAAGAAACATTTTTCATATTATCTTTTTTAGGTAAATTTCAGGTGATGATACAGAAGCTGTAGAACATACTGAAAATACAAGGAAGACTTCAACAGTGTAAAGAGATAAATTATTCATGTATAAAGTATTTCCAAGTAGCAATTATTTAATTACATTGTTGGACGTTTGTATTGATATAAGCTATTTGCTAACTTATAAATTGAGATGTGCACTCTTATGCAGGAATAAGATATTTTACCAGTTTAACAAGGACCAGATGAAAAGACATTCTATCATAATCTACCTTCTTGAAAACATACAGAATGAAAACCTGATTTCAGATAACTAAACTAAACATCAAGATTAAGGACCCTTATTTTAAACATTCTTATTTGTTGATTGAGATGTGTATTTAACTACAAAAGAAGCAAAATTCAGGATTTGATATGATAAATTGGCATAAAGTATGCATCAATTAGAACAATCGGTATAAGGATGAACAGATTTTATTTTATGAGTTTGTTTTATTTTAAAAAGTAAACAGTACACTAAAACTTAATATTTTATCTTATTCCTTACAGTTTATTCCTGTTAAGAATTTTTATGCCTGTGTAAGGATTTCATGGTATATGTATGTGTGGTGGTGCAGATATGTATGTCATATTTGACTGCCTAAATTGCTAAAAAATTTATTTGATAAATAGAATTCAATCCTTAAGAACTCCATTAATGTAAAGTGAAATATAGATTAATTTAAATGTGAAATCGGTGACTTTAGGGCCAAAGAATATTAGGTATTTTAGAACAGAATTTTTATACTTAACTCCTGTTACATTCTACACTTTCAGTTTCTCTCCCCATACATAGAAGGACTGGAGATGGTTCTAACATCTTTATCCCCTTGTTTACTCTCCCTAGAGGGCAGAGGGTGGATAATTAGATTACTCACACCAACATTCATTGGACCATGTCTTCTCAGTGGGTTGAGATCCCTACTCATATCTCTCTCATTTTACTCTACCTGATGACCATGAAAGGAATAGCATGAAGATGAAAGCCATCACACTGAGGACAGCAGGATACAAATTGTGCTTCTGGTCACCTCTGAACTCTGTGAGATAATAAATTCTTCATATTGTTCAGTTCATACTTGGCTTTGATTTTTGTATTTGTATTTACTTATAACCAAAAGAAGTTTCTCTT